TTTTTTTTTTTTTTTTTTTCCCTCTCCTTATAAATAGTGCAATTTCTGTGATCTCTGATTCCCAAAGTCCTTGATTTCAAGTGTTTTTTCTTAGCTGTTACTTTTTTTTTGTTGTTGGTTGGTGGTTGTAATTATTATTTTTATTTGCAGTGCAGATGTGCCTCCCACCCCCCAAGGATCTCTCCTCTGGACTTAGAGAGAAGAGGAAAAGGCAGATTTGGAGAAATGAAAATTATTTAAGGATGTYCCTACTGCCTCTCTCTGCTGCCCTCCTCTGTAATAGTGAAGCATTTACGAGAAATAATACAAAATAAATAAATAATTTAGGGAAAAAAAAAAAAGACTCTTGGCCAGATCTGTGGGGAAAGAATCAAAGACCCTGTCCAGGCTCTTGGGAGGGAAGCACAGGCTCTTCTTTGGGGAGGCTGCTGATGGAAGTTGCAGCCCCCTGCACTCACCTGTGCAGGGCCATGAGCCCCAAACTGGCCCCGAGCCACCCCATAAAGTACCTGACATGGCTTTTCCCTTGGGGTCAGCGCTTGGAGGCGGTTGGGAGCCTGTGGATGGCGCTCAGGCTTGGAGGAGAAAAGCCCCCCATGCCCCTGCTGCCCTCCTTKCCCTGCTCTGCTTCCCCCAGGCCATCCCCAGAGCCCCTCTCCTCCCATCACCGAGGGGTGGAAGCTGCAGGGAGGGCAGGGAGAGGACAATGAGYTTTCCTATGCAAGGTCCATCAGAAYACGCRGGRTCCCAAACCCGCTTGGCCGGCTCTGCCAGGACAGGGGACTCCCAATGCGGATAAAACCTTCATCYCTCTTTCCCCTCCTCTTCCAAAGTCCCACCCAGCCCGCCGTGCACCSTCAGGGCGATTAGCGGGTCCCTCTGTCCCTCAGCAGGACACAGCAAACCCCTCAGCTCCATGGGATTCCCTCGGGCAGGTGAGGGAGCGCCGCTCCGAGCTGTCCCCACCGCCTCCCTGCACCCCTGGGTGCTCTGCCCTGCTCCCTCCCCATCTCAGCACCTCTGCCTTGGGCACTTACTCTGCAGCGAGGCGAGAGGCTGGGCAGCACCTCCCCGCAGCCCCATGCCCGTGGGCATTCATTTGTCCCAGCAGCTCACGGCAATTGCTACCTCTTAAAAATTAGTAATAATAAAAAAGGAAAAAAATAAAAAGGAGGAAAAAAGAAAAAAAAAAAAAAAAAAAGAAAAAAAAACCCGAAGTCCCTTCCTCCCTCCTTCCCCTTCAAGGTGTCTCCTGCGCCGGGAGCCCGGGAGAGGCGGCCGGGGCGAGGGGCCCGGAGCCAGCCGGGGCTCTCTGGGGTCCCCCCAAATTCAGCAGATAATCCTTCCCCGGGGCTGGCGCGTCCCCCTCGGGCCGTCGCTCCGCTCGTGGGTCATGGATGCTGCGGGGATCCAGGAGGGAAGGGCGGTTGGGAGCGSGTGCTGGGAGGGACATGGATGTGAAAGAGGTGGAAGTTCTAAGGCTGCCCTTGTCCTTTTAAATAGCTGCAGCCCGGGGACTCCGGGCTGGCGGGGGTGCCCCAGGTATCCGGTTTCAGCAAACAGCAGCTAATGAGCAGAGATCCAGCCTCCGAGGGGCAGGATCAGCGCTGCCGGCGGGCAGGGGGGCACCCCGGGCACCCCACCAGCAGGGGAGGGGGCTGCCGCGGGGAGGGGAGGGCAAGGGGCAGGGGCTGCGTGGGCACTGGCAGGGCAAGGACAGGGATGTGGGGCAAGGGGACAGGGCTACGGGACCCCCAGTGAAAGGGGACAGGGCTGCGGGGCAAGGGGACAGGGCTGTGGGACCCCCAGGGCACAGGGGACAGGGTTACGGGATCCCCAGGGCACAGGGGACAAGGCTGCAGGAACCCCAGGGCACAGGGGGACAGGGTTATGGGACCCGCAGGGCACAGAGGACAGGGCTGAGGGGGCTACAGGACTCCCAGGGCAAGGGGACAGGGTTTCAGGGCTACAAGGACCCCCAGGGCACAGGGCAGGTCCTGCTGAGCCCCCAGCACAGATCCGAGCCCCCAGCGCGGGTCTGGCACCAAAGCTGAGCCACCCCAGGTTATCACTCCACAAAGGTGTTGTGGGTTTTTACTAGGTTGTCCCCGAAAGGAGGAAGAGCCAAAGCACCTCAAACCTGGGCATGGACTCTGAGCTTACGCACTCTCCATGAAAAAAAAACCACCCGCACAAATAGGATCCACCAAATACCTGAGCTTGAGGCTGGGGGAATGATGTCACATCATGTACAGAGCAGAAAATTCAAGGACCCACTGGCCTGACTCAGCAATGCAGGTTTTACTCAAAAGCCTGACCTCAGAGCGTGGCCAAAAGCTGAGGTTTCCACCATAAATCAGATCTCCCCTATGACATCTCCTGCTCCCATGCACACTAAGGGCTTCTCTCCCTTAATTCATRTATTTGGCTCAGTTGTGGTTGCTCGCTGGGGCTGTGGTTTTGCATCTCCCAGTTTCTATAGGCAGAAGATTTTATTCATACCTTTGCTCTGAAGCATCTACATTTTCCCTCCTTTCTTGCTGCAACAGATGAAGATTTAAGTAGCGACAGCAAAAAAAAATTGAAACAAGCAGTGTTGGGAATGGGGTAAACTAAAAACATCCCAGTCTTCTGTCTTCCAGAAAAACTTCTCAGAAGAGTCCAGCTAAGATACACATTCAGATACTTGTGAGAAATTCCTGTTCTCAGAAAAACACGTCTCAACCCCCTCTGAAGGCYCAGGAACTCAGATGACCCAAACAGTCCAGCTTTGAGGACTGGCACTTTAGGGACAACAGACAGTGACACAGCTTRTCAGAAACACCATAAAATCTCTATTTTTCTTAGCTATTTTTTTTCCCCCAGCTGTTCTTTCCATGTTCCTCAGTCACACATTCCTCACTGAGAAACATATTCTAGCCATGCTGAAGTGTTTAAGATAAAGCTTAAATCTATTAGAAAACCTCCAGCTTTGCAAATAATCATGGGTTAATTCCTCTGCTGTTGAATAYATCTTAGATTCTCCTGTTTATTTCTGCCTTTTCTCTCTTCTAAATGCAGCAAATATTTAATAAACTCCCTTAAAAAAAAACAACAACAAAAAAAACCTAACAAAAAACCAACAACAACAAAAAAACACTGCAAAAAAAACCCAAAAAAACAAAAAACCCAACAAAAACCACTCTACCCAGAAAAGAACAAGGCCTGGCTTTCCAGAAAGAGGGACAAAATGCTGCATCCTTGTAAAAAGACTTTTCCAAATGGGATGAGCATGGGTAGCTGGGAAAGGATTGGTGGTACTCCAGGTCCACAGCATCTCACCAAGGACCACCACAAAACTCACTGACAGCTCATGCTCAAATCYTCTGCACATATTTGCTCAGATGAACATTTTCAAACCGAACACATGCCTAAAAGATTTGCTAGCACGAAGACATAAATGTATCCCAGCAGTAGGAAAAAGGGAATTAGTTTAAAACAAAAGGAAACCCAACTTTGCTGAAGCCAAGACTAGTGCCAAGTGAATTCAGGTTCAAAAATTAGACCTCATTCTTCAAAAAGAGAAAAGCCACAACATATGATCTGAATAGAAATATATTTAACAGATTTATTTTTCTTCCCTTCCAAATTTAAATAGGAGCCATTTTAAAACACTAAATAAACTGAAGGAAATCGGCACAGCAGTGAAATGAAAAAAAGGGRGRAAAAAGAAAGAAAAAAGGAATTGGAATGGAATAGTTTAATTAGCCAAAATATAAAAAAAAAAGCACAGGGGAGGAGGAAATGCCACCACACAACACGAGGAACAGGGAACAGAACACTTGCTTTTGATGAATGCACCTCTCAAAAAAAAAGGAGGATGTCATTACAGCCTGGATAAACACAGCATTTTAAATATTCCCCCGTATTTAGCCACTGTCCAGAGGAACCAGTACCCACCTCTCCTCAGGAGCTGCAGCTTGGTTAAGCGTCAAGACTGTCTTTAACATAACTTTGTCCTCTTGTTCCTCTTGAACAAGTGAGTGTGGAGGCACCTCAGAGCTGTGAGGAGCGGTGTCACAGCCCTGTGTGACCCACAGCACCCAGCTCCACGCAGCAGAGGGACCCCAGAATAACCCCAGCCCGCCTTCTCCCTCTGGTTTGGCCTGGAACACAACACTGAATCACAGTTCAATCATTTTTGCCTTTGCCCAAGCCCAAAAMCCATCCTGGATCACTCACCGTCCCCAGAACTCCCAAGGAATTTCAGGGATGTGTTGGGATATATTTAGATAAATGCTCCATTCAGGTTTGAAACTGTGGCATGACCAGGCAGAAGTGAAAACCACGGCACCGGAAAAACTTGTGGGAGGGATCAAACAAACAGGCGAGGGAAAGGGGAGATAAAGGGCCTTTCACTCCCTGCTGGGCTGAGGATCCACACCCAGCCTGGGTTGGGAATGCCTAAACTTGGTACCTGGCTCAGAGCTGCTGGAGCCACGGGGAAAGAGAGCCCAGCCTGTGGGAAATGGCCCTGCCATGAAGGGGTGATGGTCCCAGTGACACGGGAGGACACAGCTCTGCAGCCCCAGAACGTGCATCACATGGAGCAGGGCTGGAGCCGCACTGGGATGGGCTGGATCCATACTGGGATGGGCTGGATCCTCACTGAGGAGGGTTGGATCCTCACTGGGATGGGCTGGATCCTCACTGGGATGGGCTGGATCTGTGCTGGGCAGGGCTGGATCCATACTGGGGAGGGTTGGATCCATACTGGGGAGGGCTGGATCTGTGCTGGGCAGGGCTGGATCCATACTGGGGAGGGCTGGATCCTCATTGAGGAGGGTTGGATCTTCACTAGGCAGGGCTGGATCCTCAGTGGGATGGGCTGGATCCATATTGGGGAGGGCTGGAGCCGCACTGGGGTGACTGGATCCATACCTGTGAGCCTGACAAGAGCAGGAGATCACCCATCCACAGGAGTGGGACGTGTCCCCAGCCCACACACAGGCACAGCACTCCGGGCGGTGGCACAGGAAGGACGGGCTGTGCCTGTTTCCAGCTCTGGGAGTGTGTGCTTGAGGGCTCCCACCCTGCAAACAGCACAGCCTGGGCAGCCAGAGCCCCCGGGGCTGGTGCTGATCCCTGTCTGCTGGGGTGGCACTCAGACATTCCTGCCAGAGCATTGGCACAGGACATTTCTGTCCCTGTTCTCCCCCGAGCACTCCACACTTGGCTGCAGTGCTCTCTCAGGTGTGAAATCCCCCTGTATAACATTTCCTAATCCCTATACGACTTTTCTATTCAGATCCTCCCTTTAACATGACTGCACCAGCACTTCTCACATCCACCAGCCCTACTC